AGAAAAAAAATGGGGAAGAATAGGGGGAGGAAAAAAATTGAAATGAATCTTACAAGCAACCCAGATTTTTAACTTCGGAGGAATGATGGGTAAGATATTGAAGAGCACAAAGAATAATTAGTCACTCAGAACTTTCAGCTATAAAAAGACTAAGAGAGGGGATGGAGAACTCAGTTCTTTTCTTCTCATACAGTATGTCTGACTTTCAACTACAGAATGTCTGAGATGGCATTGGAGAGATGCACAAAACTTCTTAGAGGAAACCTCTACCTTCATAGAATCTAGGGTAGCTCAGTTGCAGTCAAAAGTAAAGAAATCTGGGGATGAGATGAAAGATCAAAGAACCCTCATTGGCCACCAAAACAATGGTAGCAGAGATGTAAAGTTGACTGAGGCCTCCAAATGTTTGGAAATCAGATAGTTCGTCTGTAAAACAGACAGATCTCCAAACCAAGATCCCATGCCTCCTTGAATAGGAAAATTCTCAGCCATGCTCTCAAAAATGTGAAGCTGTTGTGAACTGAATTCCGATAATACTGCAGCAAGTGACAGACTGAAATAACTTCAGAACATATAATGCAATACTATAAAACTCCTAAAAGGTAACATGGGGAAAAACCTAAATGACCTTGGGTATGGTGATGCTTTTTATATACAACACCTAAGGCACGATCCATGAAAGAGATAATTGATGTGCTGGATTTCATTAACATTAAAAACTTTGGCTCCAGAAAAAACAATGTCAAGAAAATGCAAAGACAAGCCAGGAACAGGGAAAAATATTCACAAAAGATACATCTGAGAAAAGACTGTTATCCAAAATATACAAAGAATTCTTAAAACTAAATAATAATTAAAAAACTATAATTTAAAAATGAGGCAAAGACCTTGACAGACACCTCAATGAAGAAGATTTACAGATGGTAAATAAAATAGGAGAAGATACCCTACATCATATATCATCAAGGAAATGCAAATTAAAGCAATGAGATACCAATACACACCTACCTATTAGAATGACCAAATCTGGATCACTGACAACATGACCTGCTGGCAAGAATCTGGTGCAACAGAAAGTCTCATATTGCTGCTGGGAATTATGGTACAGCCACTTTGGAAGACAGTCTAGCACTTTCTTACAAAACTAAACATGTTCTCACCATGCAGTCCAGCAACCACACTCCTTGGTATTTACCCAAAGGAGTTAAAAACTTATGTCCACACTATAAAGCCTTTACATTTATGTGTAGAGCAGCTTTATTCAGAATTGCCAACACTTGGAAGCAACCAGATGTCCTTTAGTGGATGAATAGATATATGTGGATGTTGGTACATGCAGACAATGGGATATTATTCAATGCTAAAAGGAAATGAACTATTAAGCCATGAAAAGACATGGGGGAACATATTATTAAGTGAAAGAAGTCAATCTGAAAAAAGCTACATACTATATAATTTCAACTGTATGACTTTTGAGAAAAGACAGAATTATGGAGATAGTAAAATATATCTATATATGATAATAAAATATATTATCACCTAACATATATGATAAAATATATATCATATATTGCCAAAAATATATGGCAATCAGTAATTGCCAGGGATGAGCCAGGGAGAGACGAATGGGAAGAGCACAGAGGACTTTTAGGACAGTGAGAATACTCTATATATACCATAATGGTGAATATTTGTCATTTGTCCAGACCTGTAGAGTGTACAACACCAAGATTGGACCCTAACATAAACTCTAGATTTTGGGTAATTATGATGTGTCAAAGTAGATGCATCAATTGTAGCAAATGACTACTCTGGTAGGGGATGTTGATAATGGTGGAGGCTATGTATATTGGGAGCAGTTGGTATACAGGAAATCTCTGTACTTCCCTCTCATTTTTGCTGTGGACCTAAAATTGTTCCAAAAAATAAAGCATTAAAAAGAAGTTTGTTAAACTTTTAAAAAACAGGCTGCCAGGGTCCCTGTTGGTTGAGCATCCAGCGTCAGCTCAGGTCATGATCTCATGGTTCACGGGACCAAGCACCACCTCGGACCTTGCACTGGCAGTGTGGAGCCTGCTTCAGATCCTCTATCTCCCTCTCTCTGCCCCTCCCCTGCTCATGCTCTCTCTCTTTGTCTCAAAAATAAACATAAAAAAAAAAGTAGGCTGGCTCCTCTGTACCCTAATTTATAGCAGATAATTCCTCTTACTTCCTTTCTGTTTGGGTGGGGAAGTCAGGGGACATCTATGGCACTCTTCCCTAGCATCCAAGACATCACTCTCTGGAACACAGTTACTGTAAGTTTATATCCTCAGAAATATGACATTATTTTAAAACATGACGTCCAGCTTATCCAGTTTATTTGATTACTGGGGTGCAAATGATGTGGGATGTTATTTGTATGTTTCTTTGCATATTTTGTAATTTTAATATTCATACCGGAAGTCCTATTTAGAAACAGATTAAAACACAACAAAAATATTTTATATCTATCCACAGATATACCATTTCTGTAGTTTTCCATCCATTTATAAAGATTCAAGATTTCATCTGATACAGTTTTCCATCAACCTGAAGAGAATATCCTTTATATTTTCTTACAGCACAGTTCTTCTGGTAATGAAACTTTCAGTTTGTTTCTCCTGAAATGTTTTTATTTTACTTTCACCTTTTATGAATATATAAATCCCACCCAGGTTGACAGACTTTTTTTTTCTTGCAATATTTTCAATATATTTCTCATTGTCTCCTATCTTGCTTTATCTCCAAAATCAGTGAGGCATCAGCCATTATTTTCATTTTGTTCAGTTTATCTTCTTGTAATGTGTCTTATTTCTGTGACTCCTTTAAAGGTTATTTTTTTTCCTTTGGTTACCTGAAATTTGATTATGGTGTGTCTTGGTATGGTTTTCCTTGTTTTGAGCGTGGACTTATGTTTTTTCTTTATCACCAGTGTGAAAAAATTTGCCCTTTATCTCTACTTTATAGCCTTCTTCTGAAACTCTGATTATATGCTTCTTAATTTTGACATCTTAATATTTTTCCACAGGTCAGAGTTTCTGTTCACTTTTTCTCCCATCTTCTCTTCTCCCTCACCCCTCCACCGAGTGTTTCAGTAAGGTTAGTGTCTGTTGCCCTGTGTCTACCTACAGGATAACTGAAGTTCTTTCTTCAGATAACTCTCTTCTCCTGCCATTTTGCCTCATAAATTCAAGCCATTGGAGAGTCTACATTCCAGTCCATCCTCTTCACCTGTTCATGAGTCATCTTGTTTTCCCTCCTTGTGCTATGTTTTTAAAAGTGTCTCCAGGAGCAGCAGTAAGGTTCATTTATTTTTCTTCATGCTTCCCAAGGATCACAATACCGTGCTTCTTTTTTTTCCAGTCTGTGAAAACTATAGTTACGTATATTTTTGTACTTTTTTTTTGCTGCTTGCGTCTTGTGGAAAAGCTAGTTTAGTACTAGTTATTCTGTCATAGAAGAGTAAGATCTTTTCCTTTGTTGAGACTGACAGTGCTTATTCATTACAACCACATTAAATATGACATAAACTAGGCATAAAATAAATCGAATCTATAAGAATATGTTTTATTTAGGAAACTAGGTATATTCTTTCTGGAGTAAGTCCATATTTTGTATTTTCACTAATTAGAAAATTGACTGACTTTCTCCAGCAATTTTCCTTGACAGTTAAAAATACATGTAATTTATGAGAATTTTATTTACTTGTTTATTTATTATTTTTTAATGTTCGTTTTTGAGAGAGAATGAGTGCAGGGTAGGGGCAGGAAGAGAGCGAGACAGAAGATCCAGAGTGGGTTCTGTGCCTGAGAGCAGAGAGTCCAATGCAGAGCTTGAACTCATTAACTGTGAGATCATGACCTGAGCTGAAGTTGGAGGCTTGACCAACTGAGCCACCCAGGCACCCATAATTTATGAGAATTTTTAATTGCTTATGTCTTAGTATTTTAATTTTTTTTTTTGAGAGAGACATAGGGTGAGGTGGGGAGGGGTAGAGGGGGAAAGAGAGAGACAATCCTAGGCAGGCTCCATGCCTGTGTGGAGACTGATGTGGGACTCAATCTCACAACCCTGAGATTATGACCTGAGCCGAAATCAAGAGTTGGTCATTCAGCTGACTGAGCCACCCAGGGGCCCTAGTATTTAATAAGATCAAACTGGAAAATGAAACTGTCAAGATTCTTTTCATTACATTTGGATAAATATAAATGTATTACGATTCTAAGAAAAGAAAAAATGGAATTATAGTATTTTGGGGGGGCTCACTGTCAAGAATTTTGATGACTGCTTTTCAAAAATTATCTTTGAAAAATCTAATTTTATGTCATAAAATATTCTAATATTTAAGGAGCTCAGAGCATTTGTGGTACATCTTTAGCGTTTTTATCTTTGAGAATAAGAGCCTTTATTTGCAGATAGGTTGTGGTACATTCAAGATAGTTTGTAAAGATGAATAAAATTTTATTAATGATTACTTACTTTCAAATATGCCACAAAGTTTACAATAACAAATATTGTCTATTATTGTTTCTACTCAGTAAATTGAAATGCTTGCAAATTCTTAAGTATATCTTTAATATTTTCAACTGTCAAGGTTTCTTTCAGGGTTATGGGGAACTGTCCTAACTCCTACCCTCCAATCTGGGCTGAATATCACTTTTTTGGTGCATCCATGTAGTACCCTGGACATATTTCAAAAATAGCACATAATTTACACAATTGTAATAATCTGTTGGTTTCTTTGTTTTCCCCATTTGATTTTAAATCCCACAAGGCCATGAATGGCATATTTTTCATCCTGGTGTCAATTATAGCCTGCAATTCAGAGGAGATATTTTATACTTGTTTGTTATGTAAACAAATGAGTAAATTGGTTCTGTATTGCAATTTGAATCAAAAGGATTATTCCAGTGGGAATGAATGTGAACATTAGTGAAATGATTGGATGCTAACACTACATTTTGTGTCTTTTCTTACAGGCTCTTAAATCTGATCTACAATGGAAAAATTTCTTTTTTATCTGTTTTTCATGGGCATAGCAGTGAGAGCTCAGATCTGTCCAAAGCGTTGTGTCTGTCAGATTTTGTCTCCTAATCTCGCAACCCTTTGTGCCAAGAAAGGGCTTTTATTTGTTCCACCAAACATCGACAGAAGAACTGTGGAGCTGCGGTTGGCAGACAATTTTGTTACAAATATTAAAAGGAAAGATTTTGCCAATATGACCAGCTTGGTGGACCTGACTCTATCCAGGAATACAATAAGTTTTATTACACCTCATGCTTTTGCAGACTTGCGAAATTTGAGGGCATTGCATTTGAATAGCAACAGATTGACTAAAATTACAAACGATATGTTCAGTGGGCTTTCCAATCTCCATCATTTGATACTGAACAACAATCAGCTGACTTTAATTTCTTCTACAGCATTTGATGATGTCTTTGCCCTTGAGGAGCTGGACCTGTCCTACAATAATTTAGAAACGATTCCTTGGGATGCAGTTGAAAAGATGGTTAGCTTGCACACCCTTAGTTTGGATCACAATATGATTGATAACATTCCCAAGGGGACTTTCTCCCACTTGCACAAGATGACTCGGCTAGATGTAACATCAAATAAATTGCAGAAGCTACCACCTGACCCTCTCTTTCAGCGAGCTCAGGTACTAGCAACCTCAGGAATAATCAGCCCGTCAACTTTTGCATTAAGCTTCGGTGGAAACCCTTTGCATTGCAATTGTGAATTGTTGTGGTTGAGGCGTCTGTCCAGAGAAGATGACCTAGAGACTTGTGCTTCTCCAGCACTTTTAACTGGCCGCTATTTTTGGTCAATTCCCGAGGAAGAGTTTTTATGTGAGCCTCCTCTCATTACTCGTCATACACATGAGATGAGAGTGCTGGAAGGTCAAAGGGCAACCCTGAGGTGCAAAGCCAGGGGGGACCCTGAACCTGCAATTCACTGGATTTCTCCTGAAGGGAAGCTTATTTCAAATGCAACAAGATCTCTGGTGTATGATAACGGAACACTTGATATTCTTATAACGACTGTGAAGGATACAGGTGCTTTTACCTGCATTGCTTCCAATCCTGCTGGGGAAGCAACACAAACAGTGGATCTTCATATAATAAAACTCCCTCACTTACTCAACAGTACAAATCATATCCACGAGCCTGATCCTGGTTCTTCAGATATCTCAACTTCTACAAAGTCAGGTTCTAATGCAAGCAGTAGTAATGGTGATCCTAAAATGAGTCAAGATAAGATTGTAGTAGCAGAAGCGACATCATCCACGGCACTACTTAAATTTAATTTTCAAAGAAATATTCCTGGAATACGTATGTTCCAAATCCAGTACAATGGTACTTATGATGACACCCTTGTTTACAGGTAAGAAAAATTAACCAGATTTTGGTACTTAACCATGCCTCTCAATGTAGGGCTTGTTAATGTGCTACTGATTTGTTTTTTTAATTGGCAGTGCTACCCTTGTTGTGATTACAGAACTCCGTTGTTTAAAGTGTATAATGTGAGGTTTGTGAAAGGTGATCACCTGTGGGGAAATATTTTGAATGGTGTTATTTTTAGAGAGTTCAAATTTATATTTAATATGATGCTTACTTACTTTCTTTCCCCTCATCTAAGAGATGTGACTATCAGAGAACAAGATTGATTTATTTTAAAAATTCAAAAACATACCAGAACTTACACATCCACATGAGTGTTCTTTCCTTCAAGGAAGTCACGTTGGGAGGCTATACCATTACCCCAATGATGCTGGCATTGCTCAAAGCACTTTTGGAATTATCTTTAGAACCTTCGTCATACTATTTTGAATATCCTCAGTGGTGGCAAATCTTCGTCTTTTGAGGGTGAATTTGAATTTTGGAAACAAGCAAAAGCCATTTGGAGCCAAGTCTTATGAATAAGGTGGGTGATCAAGATGGGTATTGCCATTTTTGGTCAAAAATAGGATGTAACTATAAAATAATGAGACTGATATTTTTGAGTGATTGAATTATGTGCATGTGTATTGTTTCATGTACACTGGTTCTTAAGACAGTTCCAAAAAGAGTTTATCGATATTTTGAGCAGTGAAAGTATCTCTAGAATTAAATATGTAATCTCCTCATAATGACTTTGATAGAGAATTTGCATCTGACTTAGGTTTTCTGGTATGTTTTTCTAAAGTTCAGCCTCATTGATTTATAGTCACATCTTGTCCAGTTTTCAGTTGGAAATATACATTTTTACCTCTCCATATAATTTCACTCATGACAGACTACTATTACTCCTAGGAAATGATGCAAATCACGGTTTTGAAATATACATATATATTTTTTTGTCTTGAAGCTTTTCTGAAATAAGATCAACTCAATTCTTATATACTCAAGATGAGTTCTTGAAGATAATTTGGTTTTCATTCATGTATGGAAATGAGAGAACTTGTTTTAAAAATGACCATGGACCGGTAGAAAAAAATAACAGTGGCCCAGCTAGCCATATGATCGATTCTAGGCAAAGTTCTACATGGCTGAGTTTTAATTTCCCCATCTTTAAAAGCAAGAGATTAAAGTAAATGGTTTCTAAAATGCCTCTCATCACTAAATGTATGGTCATGTAGACTATGATGCATGCATAAAGTAGCTTATCCTTCTCATACTCAGCTCTTTACTGGGACTATCCATTATGTAACCCATTGTCAAAGAAGAGTGTACACCTCTACCCTTCACCTTCCCATAGCTAATATATATGTTAACTTGCATATAAATATATACATATATTACATATACATAAGTATATGCAATAGGTCTGTTTCTCGTTTCCATATTCTACCATTTTAATCCTTCCATGACAAGTAAATTCTACGTGACCTTCAGAAAGTTGCTTAAATATCCTGACTGCAGGGTTTGTCATGAATAAAAGAATAATGATGCCTAACTCAACTCATACAGTCATTATAAGAATAAAATTATGGTGTTCTAGAAAAAAAAAGAAAAAAAATTGTGTTATAGATAATGTGCTTAGGAATGCCTGGTATTTATCATACACTTACTAAATGATAGTGATTTTAATCCTAAATAAATACTCTGACCTAAAGGTTGCCTAGTTCATTCAGAACACATTGTGTAGGTTGTATAACAGATTAGCACAGCCAAGTTTTAAAATCTTCTAAAATTTTTTTCAGGGAAAATCTATAGTTTCAAGCACCTTTTTTCTAAATGAAGTCTCAGTTTAGGTCATATCTGGTTGCTACTTAAAAAATGTGGGGGGAATAAAGCATCCACAGAAGAGTTTTGTGATATAATGAGTTCAGAGATGTCTATAATGTTTATCAAACTTTAGAAACTGTGTTCTGAAGGTAATTTCATCAGCCCACAATGGGCAGGACGAGGGTTTTGTACTCTGGTCAACAGCATTGCCCTGTTCATGCCTCTAGGATAATATTACTCATGCATTTTCATCACCCTCATTTATAGATAAAAACATACTAGGAACCAAGTATTGAAGACATAAAAGAGGGCTGAGATCTGTAAATAAAGTACTTTAATCTTAGTAATTATCTTAGTTATTAAAGATAGATTTACTGGATACCATTCCATAGCAGCTTATAACTGATTTGGAAAATAAATACTCTGAAATGTGTTTCCATTCTGGTTTCTAATGTGATTGTCAGTGTTTTCCCTTCCTTCAAATTGGCTTTTAGTCACAGAGGTGTTGTAAGTGCTAAATGGATTTGTTTAGTAGTCAGATAATGTCACAGTCACACCTTTCAAAAGCAATTTGTCATAAATGATTTTTTAGCAGTGGCTTTTATTAGGAGTTCTGCTTTGCCAAGCAATGTAATTAGTAAGCTTGTCAAGGCATGGTGCAGGCACCATTAATATAATGCAGAATCCAACAATGACTTTTAACCATTTTAACTAGGTAAATGTAAGATTAGATCATTTCCCCATATTTCATATCTGTTATAAGTGTGCTTATCTTAATGAATACTGAAATGAAACAGACTGAAGTCTTAACACCTGTGTGTTTATATGTTTTGTTTTCCATATTAATGCAAATTCCATTGTCCCTCAGAATGATACCTCCCACGAGCAAAACTTTTCTTGTCAATAACCTGGCTGCTGGAACTATGTATGACTTGTGTGTCTTGGCAATATATGATGATGGCATCACTTCGCTCACTGCCACGAGAGTCGTGGGTTGCATCCAGTTTACTACGGAACAGGATTATGTGCGATGCCACTTCATGCAGTCCCAGTTTTTGGGAGGCACCATGATTATTATTATCGGTGGAATCATTGTAGCATCTGTGCTGGTTTTCATCATCATCCTAATGATCCGGTATAAGGTTTGTAACAATAATGGGCAACACAAGGTCACCAAGGTCAGCAATGTCTACTCTCAAACTAATGGGGCTCAAATCCAAGGCTGTAGTGTAACTCTGCCCCAGTCCATGTCCAAACAAGCTGTGGGACATGAAGAGAATGCCCAGTGCTGTAAAGTTGCCAATGACAATGTGATACAATCTTCAGAAACTTGTTCAAGTCAGGACTCCTCTACCACTACCTCTGCTTTGCCTCCTACCTGGACTTCAAGCACTTCTGTGACCCAGAAGCAGAAAAGAAAGACTGGCACAAAGCCAAGTACCGAACCACAGAATGAAGCCGTCACAAATGTTGAGTCCCAAAACACTAACAGGAACAACTCAACTGCATTGCAGTTAGCTAGTCGACCTCCTGATTCTGTCACAGAGGGGCCCACATCTAAAAGAGCACATTCAAAGCCAAGTAAGTTTCTCACTTTGCCTGCTGAGTGATCCAGAGCAAGGCACAGGTACTCCCTGAATGGAGAAGTAAAGGAATACTATTGTTATCTTAACTCACTGAACACACATGCACTGTGTTCTCAAAGGAGCATGTCTATGAATGCCATGTTAATTCAGTCCAGCAGTTCTGATGGGCATAGTGGAAAAGCAACTCTTTCAAATTCCGAGTGGTTATTGGAAAGCACTGTGTAACTTACTATTTCTTTTTAATGAAAAAGTGATTTTGAAAACTCACATAGGAAATTGGAATTTGAAATTCCGGTTTTGTTTCTCTGATACATGGCTACTAGAGCCAAGATGTATAAACCTTCCAGGTGCAGTTTAATTTAATATGTGAAGGTAACATGTATGAAATAGCTTAGGGATAAAAGCGTGACACAGCGTCAGTGCCTTCCCCTGTTCTAGGACTGACTTCCAGGTTCTACAATAGCAGAACACGTAATAAAGGTTATCATCAGACAAAAAGTGTCTTGCATAAATAATGATATTTCCTCCAGTCTTACAAAGGATCACCCATGGCTGGTAAATATTTTTCAGTGAGGAGATTCTATATTTTCTTTCAAGGACAGTGGTGTTTGTTTTCAGGCAGATACTATAAAGAACAACTGTGTTGTTATGGTATTTAAAATGAAATACTCCATAAGTATATCCAGACAGTGTTATAATAAGTACACTCGTAAACAACATTCTTGGTTCAGGTGTCTTAACGGCTCTATGGTATTTCTCATCCATGCCATAGCTTTTTTTTGGTGGGAAGCAAAAGAAAATGCAATTGATTTTGCATTTATCAAAAATATCCAGTTCAGTTTTAGATCACATGCCACAATTTTATACACTGCTACCTGAGCATATGAAGCTATTTTCATTCATGCAGTACACATTTGCAGAATGAGTGAATTTTATGTTTTTCTTAATGTAAGTTAAAAAAGGAGACAAAAATACAAGACTGCTTTATCAAAGGAATATTTATGTTTATCACTAAGTAAAGTAAAAAATACTTCTAATGGAATTCTTATTACATTTATAAGCAATATAAAGTCATTGCTCATTAACCAGATAGTGATTTCATTTTTCCCTTCTGCCTATAATTCTCAATTGGAATGTTTTCTCTTAGAGTAAATGCACTTATTTTAACCAAACCTGTGATGAAATTTGATTAGAAATCATGCTTCGCGCATCACTAAATTTTTTTTTTAATTTAGGGGCACCCAGGTGGCTCAGTCAGTTAAGCATCCAACTCTTGGTTTTGTCCGGGGTCCTGATCTCATGGTTTGTGGGATCGAGCCCCATGTTGGGCTCTGTGCTGACAGTGCAGAGCCTACTTGGAATTCTCTCTCTCCTCCTTTCTCTGCCCCTCCCCACTCGCACTCTCTTGCTGTCTGAAGTTAACATTTAAAAAATTTTAATTTAGTCAGGCAATAATATTGCTCCTTGATAAATGGCATTCTTGGATAGCAATGAAATCAAGGTCTATAGATAAATGTTCCTATTTACTCATTGAAAGTCTTACATTATATAGCGACTTGATGGTATTTTAGTAAAGATTGGTAAATGGGGGTTAACGCTAAGAGGTTTCTTGGTGTTTGAAGTAGGAGGTGGAGAATGAGGCTCGTGTGAAAACATTGCACAAAAAAAAATTTAGCCATAATATAATAAGATATGTACTGCATTTATATAACATACTCCATGGGAGTAAGTTAAACACACAGTGGGTTTATTAGCTCTTACAAATCATTTGAAAACACAGATAAGGAATGGTAGCCATTAGTTTAATTTCCTTCTACTAGAGACATATATAAAAATTTCAGTTAATTTTAACTTGATAGAGGCACACCTTATACATGATTTATCATGATGACATTCAAAAGCAGGTAAACTTAAAGCAGTTAGAGATTATTTTCCATGCCAGTCTCGAAAGAAATTATCTAATGGGCTAGTACTATCTTAGGTGTTTCATAAATGCCTTCTCTATCCTGGTTCCCTTTCTAAAATTTGCCTTTCACATTTCTAAAATCTAATCAGCTTTCATGGGTCAGTTGTATAGTTCTTTGAGGAATAAATGAGATTACCTGTGTAGTAGTATTTTGTAAAATCAAAAGCATTGCTCGGAGCAAAGTGTATCTTCAACACAATTGCTGTAATAATGCTCTGATCCCAATTTAATATTTCTAATTAACATCAAATACTTAATTCTTCAAAGGTGCTGATTGACAAAAGCACATCACTTTTCCCTTTCCTAGTTTTTACCTACATGGCAATAAAAAGTCCTGAATATATAAAGGCTTTTGAGACTTAAAAGAACTAATCCCCAAAAAGAAATCTCTGACATGAAGGTTATGGTGAAGGGGGCTCTGAAATTATGCATAAAGGCCACAGCGTAGCATATCTACTCCAAACTCTTGATTAATTTATTTTATATTTTTCAGTTGCCTGTATTTTTTTAAGTCAGTTCTCTGCTTATGTTTCAAATGAAACTTTAATTTTTTATCTCTTATTTCTTATAAACATTTAGAACTCTATAACATCTAATCATGTGAAATTTATTCTGTTTGACTAAAGCCATTGAAACCATTTAATTTGTATTAGTTTTACAAGACTATTTTCAGGGTGTATTAACCAAATGCTTAAATACTTGTTTTTAGAACCGTTAAGAAGTCTTTATGTTTCTGTCTTTCAAAAAGTTTATATTTTGAGAGATCAACAAAAGATTGGCCTATTAAGAGGGTCACATGTTTTTGTTTACAACTATACGAAAAACTTCTTCATCAGGGCAATTTCAGTGTGAAGTGACTGAAAAATAAATCCATGGGATGGTTGGAGGTTCTTAAAGGTACCTGGTACAATATCTGAAACGCAGCAGTTGCTCGAGTGAATGAGTGAATGGATAGATACATAAATAAATGAATGGGGCCAGAGATGAAGGTGCAGTAGTAATAATTTTGATTCTATATACAACAGAGACTTGTGATCTAGCTATTTTATCACTATAAGCAAGAAATTCTCTTACTGTTTTTCTTTCTGTTATTTCTTGCATTTCTCATCTAACCAGCTATCTATATCCGATCCAAAGCATATGATTTGCTATTGTTAACTATGCATAGGTTATGTACATTGTTTTTGCTTCTTTGTTCTCATTTAGTTTTCTTTTATTTTTAGCCATTCTACCCTGTGGTTTCAGGTTGCTCAATATGAAAACTAACAAACAATGTAGTTGCAAATATTTACTCCAAACATTTGTTTTTAATTATATGTCTTCCTGTGTTGTTTTTTTGTTTCTTTTGGATAATTGTCCCCCAATTCAAAAATGTCCCCAACCATTATTAAAGTGGGTCTCTTGATTTAATATATGTAATGTCTGAGCATCACAAAAGGATAATGAAGCATCCAAAGCTACCTCAAAATCCTAAGGGGAAACAAAGTTTGGTTTGATGAATATTATTTATCTTCACACTAGGAAAATATTAGAACAGAGATACATTAAATAAATAATTTAGATACACAGTAATACCTTGATGGTGCCTAATTTATTTCCTGTGTTTTTTAAAAAACGATTAAATGTAGTCAGGTAGGTTGAGGTTATAATATGCTATTTTATGCTCTTAGACAGTTGATTTTAGCGGCTCTGTAGATATATTTTCTAAAAATCTTTCGGAATAAATGTAGAACTATTATAAACCATTTATAAACATACCAAATCTATTACCTGAATGATACATGCTTTCTACACAAGAATTTGAGAAATTAAACAAAAACTTAAATGTATTCCACTTATCTACAGGAATCTCTCTTTAGCTTTTCTTGAGAAGTGTTTGATACTTCAATTTAAAGCACTCAGAAAGTACTTACTTCCAAACTAAATTTTAACTATTTTATTTGGTTGTATTACTGAAAGAAAACTATTTTATTTTTAAGGGTAAAAACCTGGAGCAGTTATCACAATTACCTCTTTGTTTCTAAATTTTACTGTTTCGCCCCATGTTATCCACAAAACTAAGCTTAATAACAATCATTTAATGTCAGTAGTCTAAAAAATGTTCTGAAAACATAAAGTATCATATTGTGTATAGAATTGAGAAGGTATATGGGGCATTTTTTTCAAGGACTGCAGATATGAACCCATTTTCTTCTCAGTGTGACACAAGCCTACTTCTATTTTATGATGCTAAGAAAGCAATGTTCACTAATATTATACAGAATGAAGACTATCCACTCTTTCCCTTGCTCAGTCTTCCCTTGTGTTTCAGGAAGCATCCGGTCTTTCTTCTTTAACAGTGAATGTGGATGCTTCTGTCTGTACTGTTTGTGGCATTTTGGGGAAAGGACATGAGCACAGAGGTGGGCTGAATGGGAAAAGGATATTTTTCTTATCCTCTTTAGTTGATGATGATAACCATCATTATCTTTATAATCATTAGTATTATCATTACTATTATTTACCTTATCATGTTTGTGAGTTAAGTGTTTGTTGAGTCAAATTTATGGATAAGAAATATCTTGTTTTTAAAATTTCATACAGAAAAGAGAAAATACCCAAAATGTGTTGACAGGAATTTTGTTACAGTTTCAGAGCTCTGTCTGTTCAGATTATTCGGTCAGTCCTTTTCCTCCCATCCTAGAAAAGCATGTGCTAGGACTACAAATACATTTAGTTTTGTCAGGTTTTGGGGGGTTTTTTGTTTGTTTGTTTGCTTGCTTTTTGCAAAACAGTCCTTGTAGCAGTACAGAAGATCACTTAATATAGAAGGAATGGTGAAGGTATTACTGTGATTGAGTCATCCTAAAAATGTGGTATTGTCTGAGGTGAGACATAAAAAGTAGTCTATATAAATATGAAATTACCTCATTAAATTATAGTGTTAATGTATTTGTGATTTTATCAAATATTACAAATAGTGTAACAAGTAGTGTACTATTGTCTTCTGATTTTGTCAGCTATTTCAAAGTCTAAATTTAGGATATCAA